GGTCTAACTATATAATAGTACCTATTATCATAAGCAAGATAAAATAATTCTCATGGAATATCTCAGGATCATTATCCTTATCCTACCCCTGAATTTTTTTCTGAAACTAATCTGTTGTTGTACAACAGGCTGCTGGTAAGTGGTAAGTATACACAAATTTTAATCTGTATTTACTCATTTAGTTGGAAGGCAATATACATATTATATACTGTTGCCTCATCATATAAGGCCTAATTTCTGCAAAGGAATTTGCATCTCTATCTGGGAGATTGTACAAAAAAACTACATATATAGTACTCCCTCCGTCCCATTTTATATGTCACATTTTTATTTTGCACTTGCATTAAGAAATGATGTAACTTTACCCTTCTACCCTTATTATTTATTTTTTTGGAACTTAAGTTTTCAATTAATGAATATGAATTAATTTATTTTGATTAATTAATCTAACCAATGAACATGAATCATTTACTTAACTTTTCTAAGTTGGTCAAATGTATGTTTTCAATGCTAATAACTCACAAGGGTAAAAAAGGAACAATATGCTAATTTATGCATTGATTTTATAAAATGACAAGTATTATGGACCAATTATTTATAGAAAGAAATGACATATAAAATGGGACGGAGGGAGTATATGATAAGATTTGCGTACATACCAGTTTGTCTATTTTCTTTTGTAGGGCCCTGATTTCTAAATTAAAAGTAAGGAAATACCATCAATTTATTGTTGTTTTAATGCATCATGTGCATTGCTTTAGTTTGTGAGGTAAAAGGTCTCATGTGCAAAGTCATGCATATTTAATCTCTGTCAAAAGATTTTCCAATAAAGCTTTGAACTATTTGAAAGTTATTCAATTTGAATTATGAGAGTACAAATAGTGTCATTTTTTAATTTACAGGTAAAAAAGATAATTTTAAAATGTGGATCAGACAGAAGAATCTAAGATAAAAGGAACATCATTTCCTCCACCTATGCAAAAAAGGCAAAAGGGAAAAAAGGAGGAGGAAAGTCTACTTTGAAAAGTTAAAGGGCAAAAGTGATCTAGGAAAAACATAACATTAACAACGAAAAGAACTATTCCGTCCGTTTTAAAATAAATAGTGTTTTTAGCTTGGCCACTTCTTTTAAGAAACTATGCATTTTTTTTAGAAATAAGAAGTGATTTTTACTAATTTATCCTTAATTAAATATGTCAAAGAAAAAAGTTATTCTTAAAACTTTACGTATTAAAACAAGGAAAAATTTGAAAGGATAAGATCAATTCCTTCTTGAAACCCTAAAACACCACTTATGTAGGAGCAAAATAAAAAAATAATAGTAATTAAAACGCCAACTTATTTTGAAATGGAAATAGTAGTGATTCATAAGAAGATGAAAGTCAAATGATAGTGACAAGAGAAAGTATCATCATGGGGTCATGACATGAACGTCCATAATTGAGCTAGCGTTTGACCATAAATTTTAGATTAAATTTTAAAAATCTATCTTTAAGTATATGTTTGATCATGAAATCTGAAAATTTTGATTTTAAAATATTTTCAAGCCCCAGTTTTTGGGATTGTCATTCTAAAATTTTCAAAAACAAATCAAGTAAAATGCATGTTCAAAAACTAATATTTTCAAGTTTCAAATTTAAACTTCAAAATTTATGATTAAACGATAGCTTTAAAAATGAGATACAAGTGTCTTTTACAATAACAAATGTTTGATATATAGCTTTGTGATTAGTGTTTGTAATCCATAGGAAAACAAATGAAGGTGGAGTTAGATAATGTTGTATCAATTGGCCAAGGACTAAGAGGGAGACACCAACACCATCAATTATCAAACTAATTCCCTCTATTGCATGCAATTTTTTGAATTAATTATGTCATAATGTTTGGATTGTGATGGTTCTTGCAAAGATTTCTTAACGTGGGTATCATTTGGTTTTATCTATGTTGTCTCTTGAATGCAATGATTTTTTTTTTTAAAAAAGATTTGGTTTCCCACCCGGTGTGATATCGATATTGGAGACTAACTATTTCGGATTCGCGCTTAACGCCTCATTCAGAGGAAAGCGCTTCCTATCAAGAACTTTTCCATATTCAAAATGCAATGATTTTAGTTTGTCAATCCTTTGTATTTATTTTGATGTCGTTCCACAATTATTGTTTCACAGGAGAGTTCAATATTATATTTTTTGTGCGTAATTTACGGAATTACATTGAATTTATTGCTATTGATATTTTTTTTCTTTAATTTATGTGATATTGTTTGACTTGACACAATATTTAAGAAAGAATAAAGACTTTTAAAGTCTGTGATTTAAGATAAACCTTAGATCTTTATCGTTTCTAATTATAAAAAAGTAATATTATTTTATTGACGGACTAAAAAAGACAGCTTATCACATAAATTGAAATACACGAAAAGAAATATATTTTAGAGACAATGAAAGAACAACTTGAAATCTCAATCTAAAGTAACAACTAGTAACAAAAAATTATTTGAGGCATGCAGTAAAACTTGTGTCACAATTTTTATCTTTATTAATAATTTTCCCCATTGACGATTGCATAAAAAATAGAAAAAAGGAAGGTCAAAAAGCCATAATTAATCTCTCATTACTTTGTGGAAGTTTTTATAAAATTGATCATGATTAGTAATTATGGCTAATTTAAATAGATGACTCATGCGCTATTCCACCAATTACTTTACAAATTTATGGATAATCTATATAAATGATTTTTTAACAATAAGGTATAAGGTACATTATCATTATAAAGATTTTTTTAATTATTATATTATTTAAAAGATAATTACATATAAATTATGTGATTTGTATTTATAAAAATAAGTTAAATGACCTGGTACAATTGATAAAGACAAGTAGACAAGTTAATGATATAAATTTTTTATATACATAACTTTATTTTTTTTTATTTTTTTTACAGTGGCGTTAAAAATATATGAAGTTTGAGAAAAGGTAGAAATTAGAAAATAGCCGAAAAATGAATATATTTTTTCATCTATTTCTATTTGTTCATATGTTAAAGGTAAATATTCATTTTATTTGTCTAATTTGAAATTAAGAGATAATTTATCACTGAGGGTTCGGTTGATATGAGAGATAAATGATAACTAATTTTGAGATAAATTTTAGGATGGATCTATCTCGTGTTTGATTGAGATAAAATCGCAGAATAACTTATCTCAAAATTAATTATCTCATAATTATAGTGTTATTTTTATTCCACATCATCGAGAGTGAAACAACAATTTTGGGATAACTAATTTTGAAAAAAAATCTATTAGAATAACTTGTTTTCCCTAACTAAATGAACTCTTACCTACTAATTTACCCTTATTATAAGGAAAAATGACCTGATACACCTCTCAATTTTATCATTTAGAATTGATATATTTCTCATTATGAAAGTGATTTGTATAAAATGTTAGACAATTACCTCATATATAAAATCTGTCCAGAATTCTATGGGTTGAGCTCAAGATAATTTGAATTGAGTTTAATTTCAACTCATTCAAGCACTAACCCATTTTTAAAGTTCCAATTGAACCCAATTAAATCTTCAATTTAAACCCATATTTGCATTAGTGTAATATGTGTTCTCGTATTACATGTATAAATTACTAACTATTTTATATTTTCTAGGATTCATCTATTCATTTGTAAGTTGTAACTTATTTTTGTTATTTTATTGAGTTGAAATTCAAATTGTGGTTATAAAAGTTAAATAGTATAATATGTTAAAATTACTGAGATTAAGCGAGTCAAATTGACGAATCATGACCCAATCCAAATTTTAGCCCAAAATAAACTTAACTGGATCATGTTCCAATCCAATTTCTATTTCAATTTATTTTAATATCTCTAATTTCAATCCAACGCATAATTCTTACTATAAAAAATGTGAAACTGAATTTTGAACTTTAAAAGATTATACTAATTTTAGAAAATAGTAAAAAATTATTTATTACCAAACCAACAGTAAAACATAGTCAAAGGAGAATATGTAGGACCAGAATCTGTCATGCTTCTAAGACAGCAATCACTTCCCAATAAAAGGACTTCAACAATATATATCTTTAATTAACTAAATTTAATAAATACTTTTCACGTCCACAATAAAATAAAATAAATAAAGATTCCTAATCTTCTTTTCGCGGTTTAAAAGCCTCAACATTTACTGAAATTTCATTTCCCGCTATCTTTTTTTTTTCTTTCTAAAATATTGAAACTTTTTAAACAAATAATTTTTTTATTAATCTCAGAAGATTGAAGAAAATGAAAAACTAAATTAGTATTCTCACGTTTAATATTACATGACCTCATGTTAACCTGACACACTTTTTTTTTTTAAAAAAGTTTAATTAAAGGTGTGTTTTACTATTAAATTTGACCAGTATTATTTTATATAATGTAATTAATAAAACTTTTTTGATTCGCTAAAATGGACAAGTAAAATAAAATAGAAGAAATACTTAGTCATTTGATTAATTTTTTTTGATATTTTCAAAGGTCGAGAAAATCATGCCAAAATCAAATTTTAAGTGATGTTTGAATAATTTTAGACATGAGTGAAGAGTATGAAAATTTATCTGATTACAAAAAAAAAAGAATTAACTATGATATATTCACACCATTGTATTACCTCATATTGAATTTCAAAATTTGGTAATTTTACTTGGCAAAATTGTCTAAACTTCAAATTTGAATACTTGAACACTATTCTTAAATTAAATACAATAATCATTTAAAATATAATCTAGAAATGCGATATAAAATTCATTTTGAAATAAAAAAGAATAGAAAAAATCATGATATTACTACTCACAAATTGCCCATAAAAGTAAATACTAGTAGCTCCAAATTTATAATATCAATTTTTTAGTAAAATAATAATAATTCAAGTACTAGATTTTTCTTTAAATTGACAAAAAGCCAAAAAGATATTCCAATAAATAAAACACAACATAATTTTAGGGAGCTTTATTGTGTTCTCCAACAAAAATGTCCTTTTTTTTTTTAGAGAGAGAAGCTGAGAGTTGTAAGAGAGAGAAAATATGTCTGCAAGAAGACAAATGTTGAGTGTCACTGCCATTTCTGGGAGCTGTGAGGTTTCTCTTTCATTCATATACAAAACAAGACTAGGGTTTTACCATTGTGGTTTGGTTTTTTACTGAGCTCATAGAAATCTTGAACTTCATTTATCAAGATTTCTAAAGGGCTAAATACTTTGCTGGCCCATTTCATTTTCTTGTACTTTAATGCAGATTTTTTTTGAGGCCACCAGTTGAGTGCATTAAAGAACTTGAGGTTCCAAGATAACCTGAAGCTGTAATCATTGCAAGAAGTTGAATTTCTTCAGTAAATCTTTGAAAAAGACTCTTCTTTTTTTGTTTTTCTTCTAGTTGAGCTGATGTTCTTGGTAAGGGAATGCTGAACTTGTTTTACTATCTTGAATCTTTGAAAGTTCAGTCTGTACTTTGTTTTTGTCACTCATTTCAGCTTGTATACCTAGAAAAGTTTCTATTTTGAAAAAGACTGGTGATTTTGGGTTGAAGTTGTGTACTTTTCCCCCCTGTTGTTTTACTGCTTTGAACTGTGATGGTTGTTGTGAAAGATGGTTTTCATATGTTGAGGTTTTACTTAAAGTGATTCTCATACTTAAAGCTGCTCCTTTTGGATTTCTTGGAAGGTTGAAGATTTAGTTGTATTTTTGGGAGTGAGTTTGTTGTCACTTGGGCTAGTAAAGCTTTTTCTGGTGTTGCAATGAACCTATTTAGGTTTTTGATGCTTGTGCTTTGTTTTGGTTCTGCAATGGGGCAGCTTCCTTCCCAGGACATTTTGGCCCTGCTTGAATTTAGGAAGGGTATCAACCATGATCCAACTGGTTATGTACTGCAGTCATGGAATGAGGAGTCCATTGATTTCAATGGTTGCCCTTCATCTTGGAATGGTATAATGTGCAATGGTGGTAATGTTGCAGCAGTTGTCCTTGACAACATGGGTTTATCTGCTGTTGCAGATTTGAGTGTGTTTGCTAACCTCACAATGCTTGTGAAACTCTCTATGGCTAACAATTCAATTGCTGGACAAATGCCAAAGAAAATTGGTGATTTTAAGAGTCTTGAATATCTGGATATTTCAAACAATCTATTCAACTCCTCTTTACCACCAGAGATTGGGAAAATAGGAAGCTTGAAGAATCTTTCACTTGCTGGTAACAACTTCTCTGGCCCAATCCCTGATACTATTTCAGAGCTCATGTCAATTCAATCTTTGGATTTGAGTCACAATTCTCTTTCTGGGCTACTTCCTTCTTCTTTAACCAAGTTAAATAATTTAGTATACCTCAATCTTTCTCTTAATGGATTTACAAAGAAAATCCCTAAAGGTTTTGAGCTAATGGCTAACCTTGAAGTTCTTGACTTGCATGGAAATATGCTTGATGGTACTTTGGATCCAGAGTTCTTACTGCTTACTACTGCAACTTATGTTGACCTAAGTGGAAATTTACTCGCGAGTGCCGCTTCTCAACATGAGAAATTTTTACCAGGCATATCATCGTCAGTCAAGTACTTGAGTCTTAGCCATAATCAGCTTACGGGGTCACTAGTAAGTGGCGGTGAAGCTCAGGCATTTGGAAACTTGAAGGTTCTGGATTTGAGCTATAATCAGTTGTCCGGGGAATTACCTGGCTTCAATTTTGTTTATGATCTTCAGGTCCTGAAACTCAGCAACAACAGATTTTCTGGTTTCGTTCCAAATGATCTTTTGAAAGGAGATACTTTAGTTCTCGCAGAATTGGATTTAAGTGGAAACAACCTCACAGGTATATTCCAAACTGCTCTCTGAAATTCATTTTGCAAATTAAATAGTATTTCGTTGTGTTGAACTTGAGTTACAACAAAGTAGTTAATTTCTGGTCATTTTGTTAGTGTGCTTTACTCAGTCCCTTCATTTTACAGGGTCGATAAGCATGATAACATCAACAACTCTGCGCGTTCTTAACTTATCCTCCAATGCTCTTTCTGGTGAACTTCCACTGGTGACAGGTAGTACTGCAGTTCTTGATCTCTCGAAAAACCAATTAGAGGGGAATCTAACTAGAATTCAGAAATGGGGAAATGTTGAATTTCTTGACCTCAGCCAGAACCAATTGACTGGAAACATCCCTGAGGTTACAGCTCAGTTTCTGCGATTAAATCGTCTAAACCTTTCTCACAATGCTCTTACTGGATCTCTCCCAAAAGTTATCACACAGTTTCCCAAGATCACAGTCCTTGATCTTAGTTTCAACCAGCTGAATGGACCTCTTCTCACTTCTCTGCTAACATTACCCACTATTGAAGAACTTCACCTTCAAAACAATGCACTTGTTGGAAATATTGATTTCGCTGCCCCCTCTGCTACACCCAATCTCCGCGTTCTTGATCTTTCTCATAATCAGCTTGCTGGTTCTTTTCCTGAAGGGTTTGGTTTGTTGACTGCGCTTCAAGTACTTGATATAGCTGGAAATAATTTCACTGGGTCTCTGCCTACATTGATTGGTCAAGTTGGTTCGCTCACTTCTCTAGACATTTCACAGAATCATTTTACTGGTCCTCTGCCGATGAACCTGACTGATGGCCTCCAAAGCTTCAATGCATCACTCAATGACTTATCTGGTGTTGTCCCTGATAATTTGAGAAAGTTTCCTTTATCATCTTTCTACCCTGGAAACTCTGAACTTCAATTTCCAAATCCTCCCTCAGGATCTGGCCAAGCTTCACCAGAAAACCAGAAAAGTCGATCACTTAAAACTATAATCAAGGTGGTAATAATAGTTTCTTGTGTAATTGCTCTTATTATTTTGGTCTTGCTAGCCATTTTCTTTTATTATATACGAGCTTCAAGGAAGCGTCATCCTCGTGTTGCTGAAAAAGTTGTTCATCGCCAAGCCACATCAAATCCTTCTGGCTTTAGCAGTAGGGAGGGTGCCGGTGGTGCAGTTGTTTCAGCTGAAGATCTTATGACTTCACGGAAAGGATCATCAGAAATAATTAGTCCAGATGAGAAAATGGCTGCTATAACTGGTTTCTCCCCTTCAAAAGGTAGCCATTTCTCTTGGTCACCAGAGTCTGGAGATTCGTATACTGCAGAAACTTTTGCAAGATTGGATGTGAAGTCTCCGGATCGTCTGGCTGGAGAGCTGTACTTCCTTGATGATACAATTTCTTTTACACCTGAGGAACTTTCCAGGGCTCCGGCTGAAGTCTTAGGTAGAAGCAGCCATGGTACATCATACAGGGCAACACTGGAGAATGGGTTGCTCCTGACTGTGAAATGGTTGAGAGAAGGAGTAGCGAAGCAGAGGAAGGATTTCGCAAAGGAGGCTAAAAAGTTTGCCAATATTAGGCATCCTAATGTAGTAGGATTAAGAGGTTACTACTGGGGTCCCACACAGCATGAGAAGCTCATTCTTTCGGATTATATATCTCCTGGAAGTCTTGCAAGTTTCCTCTATGGTAAGCTTCATGTATTCTAAACTCTCATATTATGTTTTGCTAATAAAGGTAAAGGCCTTGTGTACCTGTTCTTTAATCTAGTCATTTTCCTCTGACTGTGTGATATATCTTACAGTTCATATGGTTTTCCCATGCACATTATATATGAGCACTTTAATCATTGCTGTGTGATCCTGTAGTGGGAATTTGTGTGAACGACAGTATTTAGTCCTTGGTTTGATGTGGTAATACTTTAGTACATCTAGAGCCCAATATATTATGCATGTCTTTTGTTTATGTAACTTTCACACCAAGTAGTAATACAACAATCACCATGTGCTCTTCGTGATGGTCACTACATAGGCTGTGAGGGATTTGCAATATGGTACTTATTATTTCCAGTAGCTAAAATTCTGTATGATTGAGTTCTTAATGGATCTGAAAATTGTGATGTTTAGCTTTTGTTTCATGATTAACTTTGTTAGAAATCAGCTAGAATATGATACATTTTCCTTCTTTTATGAATCCTTCAAATGGACTTGCTTTCTATTCATTTGACTAACTAAATGTTTTCATTCAGTTGATAATTATATATGTGGTCATTCTCAATATACTTCTCTAATGTGCTGCACGTTTGTAGATCGGCCTGGTAGAAAAGGTCCACCACTAACCTGGCCCCAAAGACTCAAAATATCAGTTGATGTTGCACGTGGCTTGAACTACCTCCATTTTGATCGTGAGGTTCCACACGGAAACCTTAAAGCAACCAACATCTTGTTGGATGGGCCTGACCTTAATGCAAGGGTTGCAGATTACTGCCTTCACCGCCTCATGACTCAAGCCGGCACAATAGAACAGATTCTTGATGCAGGAGTGTTAGGTTATCGTGCCCCTGAGTTGGCTGCGTCGAAGAAACCACTGCCTTCCTTCAAATCAGATGTATATGCTTTTGGAGTTATTTTGTTGGAGCTGCTAAGTGGGAAGTGTGCAGGTGATGTTGTCTCTGGTGAAGATGGTGGAGTAGACTTGACTGACTGGGTAAGGTTGAAGGTGGCAGAAGGTCGTAGTGCTGATTGTTTTGATAACGTGTTGTCACCTGAGTTGGGAAATCCAGCAATGGAGAAGCAAATGAAGGAGGTTCTTGGTATAGCCGTGCGATGCATTCGTTCTATATCTGAGAGACCTGGTATCAAGACTATATACGAGGACCTTTCTTCTATATAGTTTGTACCAAACTCTACTTTGGGAATCAAATAGCTCATTGACTTCCCTTTTGAGTAGTAGAATTAGCACAGTTAGTGTGTGAATGGGGCTAGTTTTATTGACCATTGTTTGTTGTAAATTGGGGCATATTTAATGTGTAAACAAACTTTTCTCCCCTTTTGGCCTATGAGCTATCAATGTTTGTCAGTCTTTCGGAGTAAATACTTGTGACTTTATTTTCCAAGTTTTGCAGCACAGTTTCACAGAACATTCTCAGATGGTCAATCAAACACAATGCTGACATCAACATTGCAGTGCAAACTGACCGAAAAAGGTGTTCAAGAGAAAGTGCCAGGTTATGAACAAATGCTACTGGTTTTTCTTGTCCACTATTCAATAAAAGTTCAAATGCAACATCATTATAAGACACCTAAGGTGGAAAAAGGAAAAGTTACAAGAACCTAGTTATGCCACTAGTTACTATGCAAGTGAGGAGAGGGGTGGGATAAAGGTATGAATTTAAACAACAGGAACTCTAAATTACATGAAAATACATCATAAGATGCAACATATTTTACTGTTGCAACTTTAACAATGTATGTTCGTCAAACCTGAATCCAGCCATCTCTGCCTCCTTGCAGATATCCTTGCACTTAGCTACCCTTCCAGATGCCATATAAACTTTGATCAAGCTGCAGTATATGTCAAAAGTTGGACTAAAACCTGCTTCCTTAAGTTTAGAGAAATAGCGTACAGCCCTTGAGAGATCGTTCAAAGCAACAAAAAGCTTAATAACTACACGATAAGCTGGAAGATCAAAAAGGCAATTTGAAGCCTCCATTTCCCATAGCATGTCTATTGCCTCTCTATAGTTGTTCGCTGAATAACGACAGTGAATCAGAGTAGTATACATAACTACACTTGGATTACCACCAGATTTCCTGAACCAGTCATATAGTCCCTCCACGATCTCAAATCTTCCCAGCCTAATGCAAATCTTCATGATAGCTGTACAGTCCTGTGGTGTCAAATTCAGATCATCTCTCACAGCAAGCTCCTCTAATAATACCAAGACAAGTGTGCTTTTATCAGGATCCTTACCAAGCTCTAAGATTAGCTTAGCATACACCCCAGTATCAAGCACTCTGTTAGATTCCTTAGCCATTGAAAGTAGCTTCAAAGCAAGCTTCAGGCTTCCTCCTTTAATATAACCCCTTAACATTGCTTCATACACACCCCGACTTGCCAAGCCAGTGAACTTGTCCAAATCAAATGGCACTTTCAACTCATTTGACCCTGCCAAAACTTCAATGGTAGAACCAAGAATATGATCATCTGGGAAAAGATGGGGTTGTTTCTTCACCCAACAGAATGTTTCAAGAGCTCTCTCCGGAAGCCCCAAGTAACCCAACTCTCGGATTGTCAACGACAATGATCCTTTCCTAAGAAATGGACTCCATTTACTGAGAACCTTTGATACATTTTCCTCAGTTGAAAGGCCTTGTATCTCTTTAGCCAAACCAATCAAGAAAGTAGGATTCTTGTACACTTGCGTTGATATGGATTGCCTTGAACGATTTGTGAATCCCTTTTGTGTAGGAAGTCCTAAAGGTCGAATCTTGTAAGGAAGGGGCAGAGGTAGAGGCCTCTCTCTATCCAATTTTCCAGGCTTCTGAGGGATCCTCCCTTTAAAAAGAGATGAAATTGCTTCCATCTCATCCGACTCCCATATAATTCCCCCATCATCATCACACATCCTTCCTTTTTCTACTTCCAGCTCCAATTCTTCATCCATTCCATCAGAACAAGCCTCAGTTGCAACTCCCTCATCCTCCTCGTACAAGACCCTATTAAAACTATAGTCCATATCTGGTGGTAGCTTGGGTCGTCGAGGATTTCTAAGGTTCTTTGGAAGTTTTCTATGATTAGCTCTGTTATTAGATACAGCCATGAAAACAACTCTTCCCTTTCTTCTTCCAAAACTTAAAGGTGTTCCAGAAGCAGCTGTACTGGCACTACTAGACTGCGAGATAGAATATGTGGGTGAAGACCAAGTAGAGGACTCATAAGTGGCCGAGAACATGCAATAACTCCTGCTGAGCATTTGGTCGAGCAGGTGGTCGGCACAAATTTATAAACAAAGGAATATGAGAGACCTTATAGTGTGACGGAGTATAAAACCAACTGTTAAATGAAAGTTGAGCAGTATTTTTGACATATAAGTTACTATAGGACAGAAGGGAGTATACATTTTACTACAACTAATACTTTGTTTGAATGGTTGTTATGTATTATTTCATAATATATCGTATTGTAGTGTATTGTATCGTATTGTATTATTTTAATGAATACATTGTTTGGATAGATTGTATCGTTCATTCATAATTTGAGTGTTAAACCTACAAGAAAAGTAGGTAACAAAACGATCACACCAAATTGATCGTTACATAAAATGAGTCTTTTCGTCATTACCTAACGATGGATTTAAACAATACGATACAATAGAATTTAAATAACAATCAAAACAAACATTATTTTTAAACTAACAATACAATACAACCGGTAACAACCACTCAAACAAGGTGTAATATGACAGAAAAAAATAAAAATTCGATTGCGACGACTTCCATTTTAACTCCTTTTTTGGGGAACAGAAGATGAGATTACAAGGTAAGGAATCGAACCCAGATAAACATTAGATAGTCAATCAATTGGGCTATTAAGATTCCCGCTTCTATTTAACTCTCATTATTGTGGACATATCTATTTAGATATGCTTATCCTATTTTCCATCAAATAACCAACACAATCATCAATAAGTTCTTCATTTCTCTTCCTATCTCCAAACAAACCACTCATTTGTCTTGCATTATCTCTCAACAACTCACCCTCTTCACTCACCACACCAAACTTCACAGCTTCAGCCACTGAATCACTAGTAAAAAAACCATCTTTTTCATTTCTTGGTATCTCTACACCAACTCCTTTCTCTTGCAACAACCTTGTATTCAATCCTTGATCATTCAACACCGGGAACATAATCAAAACCCGCCCAAAACATAGCGCTTCTATGACCGAATTCCATCCACAATGAGTCAAGAATCCGCCAACTGACAAATGGCTTAGTATCTTTGTCTGTGGTACCCATCCTTTGTATATTACACCTCTGTTTTTGACTCTGTCTTCATATCCATCAGGAAGCTGAATGCGCGAATCTTCTTGATTATGTATTGGCTGATCTCTTAATACCCAAATGAATGGTAATCCACATTTTTCTAACCCCAGAGCTAGCTCATTCAGCTCTTCTTGATTCAGTGTTGCTTCAGTTCCAAGTGCAACATAAACAACAGAATCTTGATTTTGCTTATCTAGCCAATTCTTGATTCCTAACCACGTCGTATCATTGCTGTCGAATTTTTCATTTTCTACTACAGATGGAGGAAGAACACCAATGGATATTACAGGTTTTTGATAAAGCTCACAAACCAAGCTGAACCATTCGGGTTCGAACTCAACACAATTTCTAAACAAGATAACATCACTTCCATCAATTGAAGCACCGAATCGGACTCCATCAGAGGTACCTGATTCATCAGCTGGTGCTTCGAAATTCTTCTTAATCTCGTGCAGCCTATACACGACTTTCGTTTCTAAAGGAATCCATTTTGGAATAACTGTATAGTCCTCAGGGATTGACCTATCATCATTTAACAAAGCCCAAGGAGGTCCATAAAAGGACATAGTTGCAGCAGTAAAGAGACTAAAAAAGGCGCGAGAAACGCCTAATTTGCCTGCAATTTGAGGTAACCAGTGAGAAGCATAGTCATAGACAATCCAATCTGGTTTGGGATTAGATGAACTTTCAAGAAAATTGGTTAGTGGGATTTCGAGCAAATCGAAAGCAATCTTCAAGAACTGAGCTTTTTGGTAAGGTATGTCCATTGATGATTCTGCATCATTCGGCAAGTTTTCGACTTTAGGCAAAGGAAAACTCAGAATATGCAACAGGGGAGCAAGATCAGAGGGAACTTTATTAACTACTCTTTCAATGTTTCTTGGAGTTGAAATGAAGGTGACTCTATGGCCCCTTTGAGCTAAACACTTGGATAGATGAAAAAAAGGTATGATATGTCCCATGGCAAGCCATGGAAACATCACTACATGAAGTCTTTCTTTTTCATTCTCCATTGAAGGAAGTTAGGACTATTGAAAGAACAAATAACCTCTTAATTTATAAGTATTTCTTCGTCCTTAATCAGAGATCTCAAATTCGATCATGAATATGAAGTGGCCTTTCATAGAGAAGCTTTACCTCAAATATGTGACTTTATTATACGAATTCGAATTCAGTTAGACCCTAATACAGAACACGGACATCGGATGGAATTAAAAAAAAAGTGTTATAAAGTATAGAGTTAAGATCTTATCATTTTGCATATAAGAAAATATAGTGGCAATGCCGTGTTATGACTTGCAATAGCTTATGTATTTTAATATATAAGATGGTCAAAAATGAAGGCTTTTAATAATTTAGTCCAAACGCACGCCACAACAATCATTCTGCGTCTGATATAGTCATTAGTCAACACTCAACAATAACAACGTCTCAATTTCAAATAAGTTGAGATCGAATCGGATCGGCAATATATGAATAACCACTTACCAATTACCATGTCTCCTTCTTTAAGCTCAACTAATGTTATCATTATAAAAATATCCAAACAGGTAGAGTTGGTATGTTACAAAGTTAAATGATTTTTCTTGAAATAAATGAGAACTCAAAATATTTAGAAAACCTATAAAATAAATTATGGCTAAAGAAAAACTCATTTGAATCTCAAAATTCGAAAGATGCATCATGCAACATATTGTAGTGTTAAATTAATTGTTATGTAACGATGAAAATGCCCATTCGTATGTTATACTCCTTCCGTCTCATTTTATATGACACATTAAAATTTTGAGAGTCAATTAGGTTTATTTTTTACTGGGATTCTTTATATCTCTTTTAAATATTTTAAGTTGTTAATTATTGTAATTTCTAATATTTTCTTAAATAGTTTTAATAAAACTTAAACCATCTGAAAACTTAATGCTTTTATGGCTGAATAAAGCTTTTTTCTACATAATTCCTCACTTACCTAACTGTCTAATACGGCCATACCTATTTTATAGTATTATTATAAGTCAATTTTTCAACCTTTTTTTCCAACTTGCTGCTGCATTATTTTATAGTATCGTTTTCCAAATTAAAATAAAAATATTCCTGCATCTTTCTTGACACCTCATTCGATTTAATTTCATGGACAAACATACAATTCAAAAAACAAAAATACGTGACACTAACATCATGGATCAAATTAATATTCATAAAAATTAAAATCACATAATCATAGACAATGAAAAAATGAATCGCAGCCTTTTTCAGCGTCTAGAATTTCGCCTATTGGTTCGGCAGAATCCAATAACTTTTGATTCAAATTATGTATTTATTTTGATTTTAAACACCACTTAATGTGTGTAAATAATTCATCAAAAATCTAATAAACTGCGTTTTCTAAAATTTAAAACTCATAAATTTAAAATCCAAGCTCCATCTCTACTCGAAAACTCTAAAGAAATTGAGTAAGATATAATTGGTGCCAAATTTGTTTAAAGTTCTCTCTCTCTCTCTCTCTCTATATATATATATATATATATCATGAATAGTTTTGTTGAATTTCTTTTAACTGTATTAAAGGCCGGTTTATAACTTTTGTAATTACAGATTTTGTATTTGTCCTTATATCCTTGGTTGAAAACCTGAAAATGGCAGAAGATCCAATTTGATTCGTTATTATTCTATTACGTAATGACGGAACCAGTATTTTCACTAAAAGGTTCAAATTTCCAAATATGAAAAGTAACCACACGAACAAACCAAAGGAATTTCAACATCTACTGTATTTACATATGAAATAATTATAACCATATACAAATAATAATATAAATTTTCTATCGACCCTAACCCCTAGACTCTATCTAGCTCCACCCCAAGCTCAATTAAAAAGATACATTTTCACTCTTTATAGTTATTACTATAACTATATATAATAGACATATTTTACAACCTCTCTAAACTACTATATTATTTAGTACATCTTGCATAATCTATCGATCAACTGAGTGCTAATCAGTCTTCACAATGGTAAGTCTTGTTTTAAGAAAAAAAAAACTCAGATAAAGTTAGTTTAGTAAAATACAACTCTGATAAAATTCGTAATGTGTTTTTTTTGTAGGGATCGGATGAAAATGTAACAGAGACCGCTTATATCCCCATGAAGAATCGCCGACAAGGAGGCTTTATCCCCACTTTCTTCATATTTGGTACATAATTTTACCTTCGGAAACCAAACACTAGAAAATATTTTCTACGATAACACACTTAATTTGATGTGATTTTGCAGGAATGATGTTGTTGGATAACATAGGATTTGTGGCAAATATGATAAGTTTTGTTGTATATTTTGCATCAGTTATGCATTTTGATTTAGCTGGTGCAGCAACTAATACAACAAACTTTTTGGGTACTGCTTTTTTGCTCACTATTTTGGGAGGCTTCATATCAGATGCATATATGACTCGTCTCAACACTACCTTGCTCTTTGGCATCTTCCAATTATTGGTAAAATTACATTTTCATCAGTATATTTTGTAGTATATTAGTTGCATGGGATGCAAATCTAGAGATTAAGGATCGTTCAGACATGATTTGAAGTTGAAATTTTGTTTGAATATGTAATTTAGATTTCTGAGGTTGTATTTTTTTGAGCGGCAAAGCCCACTTATGACCAAGGTTTATCCAAACCCCCTTCAATGGAAAATTATACTATTTTATGTTTATACGTAAATGTTGAACTTCCTTCGGCTAGTTTGTGTGTCTACTTCTTTCGATTTAACCCCCTTAGTGAAAAATTCTGACTCCGACACTGAAATTTTTCTTTATAAACATGAAAACCATCAAAACTTCCTAACTCTTATAAAATCTTACCTAATGAACAAATTCATAGTTCATAAACACAGTATCGACCATTGGGATATCCTAATGCGCCGAATTAATAAATCACAAATCTCTATATTTCTTTTATAAATTTTTTTTTGCAATTACATGTTATGACAAACTTTAAAATACACTAATTTTGTAAAGATTCATTGATCTAATAAATCAAGTAAAATAACTAACTATTATTTGATAAAATTCTCCCACATAGTACAATCACTAATAACCAATCTCTTCACATCGAGCATGAGTCTATTTTTGCAAAATTTAAAATTACTAGGCTCCCAAATCGTATAGTCAAACGCCTACGAAAAGTTTAATAGTAATCGCCTTGTTATTTCACAGGGATACTTACTATTGATACTCCAATCCCACTTCCAAAAACTTCAACCACAGCCCTGTGGAGAATCAACTTGCGTTCATGGCGGAAAAGCACTGCTGCTATACACTTCAGTTTACTTAACGGCATTGGGAGCAGGGGGCATTCGGGGCTGTATTCCGGCATTAGGTGCCGATCAATTTGAACAGGACGACCCGAAACAGAGCAGCAAGAACATTTCCAGTTTCTTCAACTGGTTCTTGTTAAGCATAACTATTGGAGCATCCATTGGAGTTACTATTGTGGTTTGGGTCAGTACAAATGTTGGATGGGATAAAGGGTTCATTATCTCTATTGTTTGCTGTTTTGCTGGCCTCTGTATTGTTTCAATGGGTAAGCCTTTTTATAGAGTGAGAGTTCCTGGTGAAAGTCCCCTGCTTAGAGTTTTACAGGTGAGGGACATACTATTACTTTCTCTCCGTTCAATTTATGTGACAATAGTTTGACTGGACACGCAGTTCAATCATGAGTTTTTCTCTATTCGTCTCGTATATCATTGTGACACCCTTAATGCTAGGTCTAAATCAAGCAAAGCTGCATTTGTGCAGGTTTTGGTAGCAGCAGCTCGAAATTGGTCTGTGCAACTACCAACTGATAAGCATAAACTATATGAGATACATGACCGAAATGTTTCTCCTTTAACCGAACAGCGCCTTCCACATACCCAACAATTCAGGCAAGTGTTTCATGTTCAATGCAAGATGAAAAGGTTTTCATGTTTATCTTATGTTGTCATGTTAATCATGGACAGTGTACTAGACAAAGCTGCAGTTCAAACGGAGGGCACCAAAAAGCAAGGGAAATGGAGACTGTGTACTGTTACTCAAGTGGAGGAAGTGAAAATCCTTACCAGGATGATGCCGATTCTCTTGAGTACTATCATCATGAACACATGTTTGGCACAGCTACAAACAATCTCAATACAACAAGGGACTCTAATGGATCCTAGCCTTGGCAAGTTTGACGTACCTGCTGCTTCGATTCCAGTCATTCCTCTTGTATTCATGTCCGTTCTCATTCCCATCTATGAGTTCCTCTTTGTTCCTGTAATGAGGATTGTAACTGGCCACCCAACTGGCATAACACACCTCCAGAGGGTCGGGGTAGGGCTCGTTCTCTCAGCTATCTCCATGGCCATTGCAGGAGCCGTGGAAGTGAAGAGGAAGAACGAGTTCAACAACCACAACCATCGCACCAGCCTCTTCTGGCTCTCCTTTCATTATGCAATCTTTGGGATAGCAGACATGTTCACACTCGTTGGACTGATGGAATTCTTCTACTGCGAGGCTCCAGCTGGGATGAGATCTCTCTCCACGTCTTTCTCATTTCTGTCACTCTCCATTGGCTACTACTTGAGCTCAGCTTTTGTCGAGCTCATCAACTCAATCACTTCAAAGCTCACTTCAAACAAGCAAGGATGGCTTCAAGGGAGAGACATGAACAAGAACCACATCGAGCTTTTCTACTGGTTCCTAGCGATCCTTAGCTTGCTCAACTTTGGTAACTATGTCTTTTGGGCCAACTGGTACAAGTACACAAAGGATGGTCCTATCGATGAACAGAAACTTCTTCAACCAGATTTGTCTGTAACTATGAGTATGACCTCACAACAGACCATCTCTACAAGTGAAGGTGCAAGAAAAATGGAACAAAACTAAAGTTCAAGTATAAAACTTTCAAGTCAAAAGTTAAGGAGTATTGTACCTTTCTAAACAATTAATATAATTTTGCATCTTGCAACTAGACATTTCAAGCACATTAGGTTAAGGAATACAAAGTATGATTTCCCACAACAGTCGGCACTAGGTATAAGCAAAAGAAAATTGTGAACCAAACCTAGTCTAGTTAAAAGGGAATCTCTATAGCTTCTGGAGTCCACATCACTAACCAAAATGCAGCAAAAATGAGTGTGTTTGAAAGCATCTACAGTTAAGATCATGAATTATTGCTACTACTCCATTCCCATATAACATCATAGTGTTCAGTAAAATCTGCATTCACGGGACTGCTATCTTTTCTTCTAAAAACAGCAATTTGGGAGGCAAATCCTGGTTCTTTGTTAGGTTCTCCCCCAACACCACTGAACTCAACATCATAATTATGCCTTAAAGCTAACTCAGATGCCCATTGACAGAATTGCTGTCTAGTCCACTCGAACTTGTGATCGTGATTGCGGAATTTGCATGACTGCTGCTGGCTCTTCTCATCTGGGTCATCGTCCTGGTATTGGGGAGTAGATTTCTGGAGAATCACATTGTATTCATAATTGGGAGTGGAGACTATAAGAATCTGTGGACAAAATGAACTGAGAACAATATCCCCAAACGAACATGCGTCATGTTCCTCCATGTGTTCAATCACCTATAGTTGATCAAAATGCCCAGCTTTCACGATCAAAAATGTGTTAATGCTTTAAAGATTCATGGAAGAAAGAAGAGACAGAATCCAAAAATATATACTGCAGAAAAAGCAAAGTTTCATTTAACCACTTAAGCTGATGAAATGGCACAACTTAGGATCATATAAACACATATGGAAAGGCAAGACCACTTGAAGTGGAAACCTCTGTTCAATAGACTATCAGATACATATATAACATAGATAAACACAAATAAGAAAAGAGACACATTAAATGTTGGACTAACAAAAATAAATACTCTTGTGTAAACCATATAAAATTCATCAAAATATTAGCTACACGAAAGCTGAAAGCAAAGAATAACAACCAAGTCTATTTACCATGAGGAGATTGGTCCATCCATCAAAAAATAAAGAGAAATAAGTAACAAAAGGAAAAATACAGAGGAGAATGCACCAAATTTCACACTTAATTGGGACAACATAAGTGCCAATAAAGAACGTTGGAAGCATCACTCACCTCCCTAGCAAGACTAATTTCTTCAAACTTAGAGATTGTGTGTTTAAGTGGATAGACACTAATAAACCAATAGAAAATATCATCACATCATTATTCACAGTGAAACTAAAATGGATTAAATTGAACCAATCATAACGATAAGAACCACTCGCTCCAATATAGTTCATCACATAGGAGTAGAAATAGTGAAGAAATCTGCCAGCACTATGATCTAGCAACCCATAATGAAAACTCAGTTTCTAATTTCCCCTCCCTCCCTTCCTCCCTCGTAATGAGTGCTAAGCTCTGTACTCTTCTGGTAGGCGAATGAATGTGCCATATCTCTGCCAGTTTCATATGTCAAGGAAGCAGAAAAATCAGTCTGCTCTCTGCTACAAATCAAATACATAGAAGTTTTGAAGATGCCACTTACACCAGTCTCCAACTTAGATAATGGCAAGGTTCAGAAAACGGCTTTCTCTGAATAAACACTTCAGATCACATATTGTTTACTGCTCCAGAATATCTACCTTCTGACCTCAAATACTAATACATGAGTACATGATATCTAACACACTAAACCATCTACAGAAATCAAGTTGACAGATCATATCACAGAGTTCACCGATCAACTCAGTTGCTTCAATGAAAAATACTGTACATATAACCAGCCATAGACTTCATTTTGGGGATGGATATAAAGTTCATCAGCATTTTTACACAAATATTTCATGAAACTCGAAATGTCCAGAAGTTGATTTTTTTAAAGAAAAAAAAAATCAGTAAAAGATCTTAAAAGCTATGTAACAATCAATAGAAGAGAAACTGATTACCTCCAAGCAGGTTGCAATATCATATCCACACAACCGAGAATCACAAGTCAAAATCGAACCATCATATAGTATTGCAGACTTGATACTGTTGATTGGTTGTTCAGCTTCTATATTTCCATTGAGTTTTGAATGAAGTATCTGGAATTAAGAATAATCTTAGGTGAAAGCATAAATAAAAGTCTAATAATAATTTGGCACCGGCAATGCATGTGATGGGCCTTCTTTTGATGATTAACATTTTATATAAACAAAAACACACGTACATTGTTGCAGTGGGTCACATCAGGTTCTAAAAAGTGTATCAGTATCCATATCCAGGAACCTTACAAAAAGTCAGTTCCCACCTAGTCTAATTCGAGAGATAACTGAGGAAGTCCTAAAAGCTATCAACATCATATACATTCTGCATGTGGTAGACACTAAAGTATAGAACTATGCTCCATCAGTGCAAAAAATTTAGAAGTTAATTGGAGCAGTTTTTTAAGATCTTCAGAAGTTTCTTAGCATCTTGAGCTGACATTTTTGACCTCATTAGTTTAACGGTTCTGATAGTCTAAAAACAACCAATGATATTATATTGATGATGGTATGAAGTTGCTTGCCATTCCAAAAAGGAAAAAAGGAAAAAAGATCTCTTTCACTTCCATGCAATTCATTACATGAAACCATTTTCCCAGACTCTATAACCATATACCACCATAAATTGAATATTATCTACTTCGGAGCTTCCAACGCCAGAATATGGAAATAGAAAACCTACATCATGAACATAATTATATAGCAAGGAAATAGACACACGTGCCTCAGTGTGTACATATGTCATATAGATACTTTTGACAGGTAAAAGGACCTTGACATTTTGGCCTAGGAAACATCTTTCTAGCTTTGGCAATCCAAATATAATGTCATTAACTATCAAATGGTACAATGTCACACTGAAATCATAGGCTAAATTGGATTTAGTTGATGACACAAGATAATATCTTAATATTGGATTGACAGAAGATGACCATTGCAGTTCCTGAATTTTCTCACTTGAATAACAGGTTCAGTTTCAAACCTACACAGTTAAGATAGAAAATGCACAAGCTCTGATTATCATTGCCAAGAAAAAGAAATGCAGTAAAAGAATTAGTTATAAGACAGTTACAGAGAGATTAGGATAGCAAAAAAGCAGTGTCAAAGGGCTGTGAATGCATCAGACCTTTGCAGCACGAGCAAGAGCTCTCTGTGAAATATCAACACCTGCTATTTTCTCAAGAGAGGTTTGATAAGCTAATAAAGACTCCAGCAGACTTCCAGAACCACATCCAAAATCAACCTGCAATGGACTACAGATCAGAACAAGCCCTTTAAATATCTAAAGAGACTGTAAAATCATTTGAAAAGGCTAATACCAAAGAGGCAGCACAAGATTCTCTAATGTGCTGCACCGCATATTCAACGCGTTGTTTTGATAATGGGGGAGAGAATAAGGCCTGTTCCATTCTATCCTCCAGGGGTACTGTCACACGCAGCAAAGTGACTTCACATTTCATTAAGCAAGTACCTGCCTCCAGAGAGTCCAGAGAGGAGAGGGAACTTTAGATTATAGGAACACATCAGAAACTTTAAATGGTTTGGACACGATAAGTGATCAGCGGAAAGCATGTTCTATATTAGAAACCAATACAAATAGGGCAAAACCAATCAGAATAAAATGACACAGATGCCTAACTTTACCTGAAGACAATAATGAAATGATATTTGCAGAATCATGAGCCACTGCTAGAACAATCTCTTTGGCAGGCAATTCCATAGTAAAACATGCAGACTGGTCAACGGACATCTGTGTTACAACTGCTTCAAGAACAGGAGATACGGCTCCACTGCCAATCTCAAACTCAAACTCTTCAGACCCTTCAAGATGTTCCATAATGCATTCCCTTTCCGTGGCTAAATATATCTTGTAAGACACACACACCAAAGAACCACTAGATGGAGTCGTTCCAGATGATAATTCTTCTTCAAGTGTGTTATTCTGTACATTAGAGTAGCTAGGACACACAAAGCTTCCTGCTAGTGTTGCGCTGCCCCACTGATATTTGGGCAAAGTTTGACATAATGTGAACTCCTTAACAAGCTGTTGAGGATAAATAAGAATATCAAATCCCTTTGCAGATGATGTCATCTCTTCAACAGACATATCAACTTTATCAAGAAATCTATCCAACCATGAGAGAACTTTTAAGGCAGTACTATGAATTGCATCAATCTGTTTCTTATAAGATTCCTTTGGTGAACACAGTAGAATCAATTCCTGGCACTTGGAGTATATCTTCACTGTACATCTGTAGACTAGATTACACCCTTCTTGTGCTACAGCAGTAGCTGCAAGACCCCCTTCATTAGTTTTGTTTTCACCTGATGATGTATCCCTCAATCTTTTACGTCCAGGTAAATCTGGCAGAGGCTCAATGGAATCGCTTGAAAAGACAGGTTCAGATAATCGATGCTGGCGGCAAAATGTACAGAGAATATCTCTTGGAAAAGAACCCCTCCAATTGCTCCTTGTTGTGAAAGCTGTGGGAAGTTCTGCAGCAAGTATTGCTTCTCTTGACAACTTGTAAATTCCACTGGGTATCTTGTTGGCAAGTATTCTTGAGAGGGAAAAAAAAAGAGAAAAGAGAAAATGAGCCCCACTACTATGCATGAAAAAAGAAGAAAGAAATAATTATGCCAAATCAACAATAGAAACTGAGCATCACGGATAAATAAAGAAGCCAAAAGGCAAACACAAAAATAAGAAAGAACAGAAATTCCTGAAGCACAACATTGTGACTTCAGGTGAGTGTTGGCCACCCTAAAGTCATCATGCAAATCCACTGTCTCCATTATTTGGCTCACCACACCAAGATCAAAGGGAGGAAACTTACTACAACGGCCATCACAATTCAAACATATTCTACATGTCAATCTGGTTTAGAATAAGCCAGACTAAGTTTTGATTCAACCAGACTTTGCTGCCTAAAATTTCAAAAATGATGCTACGGACATACCTGTAATATGCACGCAAGGATAAAT